TATCACATGCCGAAAATGTCTCCTCTGGCTATCCATTTTTCAGCACGCACACGAAAATAATGAAGCGGTTTATCCGCAAACAAAACACACTGTCAGGAAGAGAAAAGACACGTGAACGTGAAAAAAACAAAAAAGAGCCGGCAGAACGCACTATCCGCTGTTCTATTGCCTAGCAACGCCATTCGCGCGAATTACGAAAGAAACTTTTGGGACAACCTAATACACATGTCCATGGGACGTTCCTCATGCATGAGTGTCGAAGTCAAGTGAAAAACACTGAAATGACGGAAAGGACGATTGAATTACCTTCTCTCCATAGTACGAAAAATTATCTTCAGGAGTTTATACCTTTATGTAATAGTTAAAGGGTTCCGTAGGATAAAGAAAGGTCGAGAAACGCTGACCTACAGGAATTCGTAGCATGGAAACTATTTAGGACATGGACAGTCAGTGCCAAATGGAAGAGTTTAAAGTGCTTGCTGTCACAGTTCCCTGAGAAAGGAATAATAATGATCAGTCCGGTATACTTGGGGAATTCCCACAAAACTGAAAGCCCCGACTATGGAATCGTAGGAAACTGTATTCCAATCTCGCAGAACGAGGTTCTCATTGCATGGTTTCAACCCATAACAGGATGATACACTACCGATTCGGCTTCTAGGAGTCCTCGTAGCCCATGTACAGTATTCAAGCACAGAGGTTCACCTAATCTTTCCAAACGCTTCCTACGCTGTTTTACATAGAAAGGTTTTTGGATTTGCATTGATTTGCTTTTGGATCGGGAGGCTGCCTTCGTCCGTTAGTCCCATTCAGCTCGAGTTCAAGCCCACCCATTTCACTCTATTTGGCACAATTCATGCTGCAGTTGAGAGGCAGTCAAGTTTTATGCGACAGGCGTAGAGTACTTCAAATCTGAAGTGCGAGTTAGTGATCGCGTGAAACTCGGCAGAGGGGTTGACGGATGCACGAACTGTGCCAAATGAGGCGCGAGGGCCTGAGCGGGGGTGCTTCAACCACCGAGGCAAGGGACTCAAGCATGGTGTCCTACTTGAGGGTGACGTCGTGAATAACGACTGCGAATCGATGGGCTGCAGGGATTGCACAGAAACACATTTGCTCTTTATTTTCACTCTCTCGGTTGACGATAATCGCATGATATCACATCTTGGCTCCACGACGAAATCGGGAGCACCCGAGGAACCCAAATTAATAAGGATTTCAAAATTAATTTTTTTTTCTCTCTCATTCCGTTTCACACACAGGCGAAAGGTGTCACGGAACGGACACAGAGTGTACATCTGCACAATCGGACATAAAGGCGACATGATTTTTTTCCCACAGCTCCTTTCATCTGATATCACTTGGAAGGAAGGGGAAACGATGTTGATTGCTTCCACAATCACACTATTTTTTCCCTTGCATTCATCACGATATGAGAGATCCACGATGGCATGATGGCGACAACGATTGTCATCTCTCCATTTTTTAATTTTTTTAGCACATCACAATTCGATAGAAAAATAAGGAGATCTCCGCGAAAGCCTACAATCTCTCTTGATAAAAACGGATCGCTCCTCTCCCTGGATATGCAAGTCGGAATCCGTCTACGAGATGCTACAGAGGAGATAGAGAAAGGGATCGGTTCAGAGTAGCTGATTAAATTTTGGGGGTGAAAAAATTCTTTTCCTTTGTGCGCACGACAGCTCTGCAGGCTTTCTTTGTCGATTCCTACCAAACGCGTCGGACAAAGCAGCAGAAGAAGAAGAAATAGAGAAATATTGATTCACTAGGATAGAGGACGCCTGGAAGCATTATAGGAAGATAAACCAAAGAGAGGAGGTAAGATACTGTCGAAAACGTGAACACCATCATGGAATGCTTGATTGTCTCGTTCTCCCGAAAGAAACGCGGCGAATTCAGCTTCATAATTGTCCTCTTTGCGCTGTTAGGTGCACCGAGATTCCACCACCGCGACTGCGAATGGATTTGGCATTCGCCGCGAGAAGATCCCGACGGAAAGAACGGATGAAAAAAAAATATGAGAGACACGTAGACGGGGAGACAGAAAGACGGAGGGGATCGGCAGCGCCAACAACAGCAACAACGGCGACAACAGCGACTTTCGCGCACCTCTGGAAGGGTCACAGGGATGTGAGGGAACTCAAAAATAAACATCAATAAGTACATTATTGCTCTCGAAAAAATAAATTTGGTGCGGATTTCTCACGTCCTGTGAGGATTTCGAATGAGGAACGAACTTGAGAAATGATCAACGACAGTTTCTTTCAATTCCACACTCCTGGCATTTATATTAAAAAATTAATAGGCTCCTAATATTTTAATATTCAGGATGGCATAGTTGAATATTCAGCTAAGCAATGGGGGAACCGCTAGAAATTTTTTACGTTCAAGGACATGACTGAGAGTCCGATTATTTATTCTGTACGTGGTTGTAATTTCCTGTTCGGTATCGTACTTCCACATTCACAGGAGCACGACATCGATTGCTTATCACAACTTCTGTCTCTTTGTACCCTTACATGCACCTCTGAGGACGTGAGGAATCCCGACCCTTCGAACAAAGTAGGCCTCGGAGGGGAAGTGAACCTTCCAATGGTGAGACCAGGATTACATGCACCAGAGATCTCAATACATCCATTACATATAATAATTAATACTTTTTTCATAAATAATTTTCTTTTTTTCCTGAGAGGGTTTCCCATTCAGACCCGAGTAACCCGCCTCAGAACTTCAACGAGAACCCATCTTAATTTTTTCTTCTCTCCCCCCCCCCCCCCCCCCCCCCCCCCCCCCCCGACGCCCACAGGATTCCAGAGATCACTGAATCTCGCTTTTGGGAGAAGTGAATTTCGTTCCGGTTTTTTTTTTCTTCCCCCCCCCCCCCCCCCCCCCATCATCACACGTGATAAAGAATTTTCTCAGTGCAAAAATATCTGGCTAGACGGGCGACTGAGACTCATTCAGAATCCGTAGTCGAACGAGTCCCATTCGGAGAACCGTGAATCTTGTTTTTGAAGTCGAAGGGTGCAGGCCTGAAGGTAATCATCTTGGATCCGATACATCCCCGAATTGGCTTGGTACATGAGCGTCTCTAGTATCCTCTCGTTCTTAATCGCCTTGCTCGGCAACACCACCTGGGTATTCAATGTCACCTCGTCTCGAATCAATAAGAATTGGATAGAGTAGGAAAGGAGAATACACTGACGAATTGCTCAGTCGCATCTGATGCCTGTGCCAGTGTTTATTTTATATATGATATGATATGGATGAGGAAATGAAATATTACCATAAAATAATTGGATTTAAAAAATGAAGGAGAACAAATGTATGCGGATCACTAGCTGATTAATTATTGCAATGATGAAAGGTATGGGATGATGTAGCGTAAAACTCTCATTCCCTCCAATCAGCAAAAAAAAGGAAGCAATTCGAAAAGGGGGATTAAAGAAAGGAAAAGGGCATTATAGAAACAGGACTGGAACGGAAACGAAGCAGACATTTAAATACAACGGGGAAGAGACCTTGATTAGTTCATGAGGAGAGATGCGATACAACTTGAGATCCCGAGTTAGCCTCTCCATGATGGATCGGAATTCCACCCTGGAATCCGTCTTCGTCGACGACGAGAATCCCGACTGAGATTTACTCCGCACCCGATGTTTTGCCCAGGCCAACATCGCTTCGAATTTCTTCACCTCGGGCACCTCCAGGTTTCGGCACATGATCATCTGCACCATGGACTCCGACAGTTGAAGGAAGTCAGGGTGGTTGAAGATCTGGAACAGGCAGACTCCATTTCATCTTCGCGGGAAATGAAATCTCACGATCAAAGAAACAGTGCGCAGTGCCATACACATGCGATGAAAAACCTTTTTTTTGTTTTTCCTTCGGGCCAGTGCAGAGACGGAAGGCCACGGAGTTGCGAAGAAAAGCCTACTGCAGGAATTTCCGCAGGGATCGATCGATCGATAGAACCCGATTACGTGTCCCGAGCTTAAATCGACGGGAAATGGATTGGGCCTGGGATTTCCATGCCTTATCCTCATAGGCCTAAGGAAGACCCGGAAATGGGACGCCAATCGCGACGGAACTAGGCATGATTTCGTAAAAAGGTCTCTCTCTATCTCCAACATCTCTGTTCCCACAGTCATTATCACTCCCATTCATATTAATGACTCATCTATATTAATGGGATCCCGGAATGATGGGAAAGGGCCAACGCCAGGGCTACCTGCAGGGGTTTTGTTTCCACGAAGGCCAGGATCATGTTCACCAGTTCCGATGCCGATGTGTACCGCCAAAAATAATTCTCCAGTTGATTCAACATGGTACACGCCTGAAAACAGGAGGCAACGGAAGATGCACGTATAAAAATCGGGCAAAAAGAGGAAGCTGAAAGAAAACACTATTTAAAAATACATGCAGCAAGAGAGGAAGATGAATGTGGTAATGAGGTAACTCCTGAGGGAAATACTCACGACTTCAACACGGAGGAACTGCTTGGCATGATGAAAGCAGGCCTGAAGGAGTTCGGGCAGGTCAAAGTGTTCCGCAGCGCAGATGAGGCCGGGGATATTTGTGCACTTCAACGGACAGCTCCCAGTGTGCAAGTAATTGAGCAACAATCTGAACGCATCTGCCTCGAACTCGATGATCGGGAACTGGTCAGGAAAAATATAATCCTCCATTGGGTTCTGATGCGATATGAATCCGGAGTACATTAATCATGCTCATGCATGATGCAAAAGGAATTGCTCGGGAATTTGGTGTATAGCTTTTTCCCTTTCTTCATCGGGGTTGCCTACCTCGGTTTGGGTGAGTTTGCTCTTATCCACTTTCTGAGCGTCGGCACAGACGGAGAGACGAGGGACTGAGAGCTCCGGCACCCCCTTCTCCCCTTTCTTCCCCGTCATATCTCCACGATCCACTGCACGACCAGATATCATAACAAATTGATGAAACCGCGGGCTTTTAATCGATCCACACTACTTTAATCCATTAATCATTTTGAACGATGGGTACGAAATTTTATTTTAATCCCTGGGATTACTGAGTATCTTTCTAGACGTGCAGCCCCTTCCCCATCTCACCGTCTTTTGAGCAGTCGGTGGAAGAAGCCCATTTTTTCTTGTCGTCGACGTGTAGGGTATTTTCCTGCTTTTTGCTTCTGCCCCAGCCCGACGTCAAATTGCCAAGCCGGGAAAAGGCCCTTATCACCATCGGGCTATTTGGCACGCTCTTGGGCCGGCTGTTAATCCCCAAGTAAACCGATGGAAGATGGAATTAGGCGTGAAGAGGAAGGAAATCCCCGAGAGAGATATAGAGAGAAGAAAGACAGAAGAGAAAGGAACCTAGTGGCCTCGATGTCAGGGACTTGAAGGAAGTTGGAGCTCTTGCTGGGTTTCGACGAGGAGGCCGAGGGGGAATGGAGGGCCGGGGCTGGTCTGGCCAGCAGATCCGCCACCGACACTTGAGGACTACCGAATCCCGTGCTGAACCCATACAGCATCTCCTGGAACACCCTACGCATACAAATATACCCGACCCGTTTCACAACATCGTCACTCGATCATCGACCAGCCCGTCCGAGATTCCCAGAATGGATCGGATCGATGAACCGTTTCACCTGGCTGGGTGCTCACAAAACGAATCAGGGTAATGGTAGTGATCATGCCAGTAAAAATGGGTAGCATTAATCAGACTGATGATACTTAATTTCATTTGATGTCATAATGGGATTTCATGGAATGAAGTAAGTCGATTAAATCTGTCTCATTCGGGACTATTATGTAATTAAAAGTAGCGCATGGATCTGGTGCATGTCGCCCAGCCCGTGAAGTCCTTCCTAGCCCCCCACGGAAGACGTGATTAAAGTTTGATCTTCACTCATTTGACTCACTGTGAGTATGTTGCCCTAGTGTGGCATTCCCTCTGACGACCTCTCGAGAAAACTTCATTAAAAGAATGCTAAGACGACTACCATAAGTACTCCGTGGCACCTCCTGCGGAAGTTAATTTATCTTTCCTCCCTTGATCTGGAATCAACACTGGGTGAAGTCTGGGAAAACATCAGTATGAGATCTGCTTGCTGTCACTGAAACTCGTTACGCTCTCGGAACGTCCTTCCTTACGACAATGTCCCCAGTGGCACAGCCGGAAGTAGCCAATTGAATTTCAATGCTGAACCTCCCAATCCCCCGGCCAAGGCAAGAATGTTGAACCAACAAATAATCTTTGTTTGTTCCTTGATAAATACTGTTTCCTCTGTACTCATCATTCCCCATATGACGTTGCCGCTCCAAACTCCACGTGGATTTATTCGGTCCAAGGGTTTTCTTTATGATGCTCTTAATATTCTTGAGAATGACGATCGGCAATGATGACAGACCTGCTACGAACGCCGAGGAGGGCACGGACCCCGTACAGCTTCGTCTTCTCTTTCCCAGACCCGACGAGAAAGGTGACGTCGAAGAGATGTAGTTGCTTCTCCCCCGTCGGACTCTCCTCGTTGAGGAAGAACTTGACGAAGTCTTTGGCCAGCTGATCGTGTCCCTCGAAGAGATCCCGGACGGAATCCAATAGGGGACTCGACGGCCTCATGTGCCCGATTGGACGCCACGACCCTCTCCTGAACCATCATAATCAAACAGAATCTCAGAGAGGAAACCAACCAGGGAAGGAAGGAAGCTGTCACGTTCAATGAACCTCCCGACCCTCGTGCAATGGGGCAAATGAAGATAAAGCCCAGCCCTATTTTTAGAACCACACACGCAGAGACGTGATTGGATGAGGGGAAGGAAAATTAGTGTCCCTTTCGCTCTGGGATCTCCATTCATCTTTAGTTTTTTGTATTCTTCGTTTTCTGACCTGTAAGGTTTGGGCATTTGCCCAGTCTCGGCGTGATTCTGAAGATTTTGGACGATATCCTCGAGCATTTGCGATCGAGTCCGTTCCTGCATCCGGGCGAATTTCGGTGCGGAATACGAAGCCCGTTCCCCGTTCACGATTTTCGTGAGGAGCCATTCACGAAACATGGGTCCCTTGCTGAAGATGGACTGGTGGAGAAGGTAGGGTTTATAGGCTCCCACCTCGTCCCTTGATACCACCGACACCTGCAAATCCCATCACAAAACATTCATTCCATTTGGGCTCAGGTGCGAAGGGAATTTCGTGCAGATAGCACATCTTCTCGGAATCCATCCCAATCACGAAGGGCACGACATGCCTGGAATCCCGATGATTCACGAGATCGAAATTCTCAGAAGTAATTCCAGAGAAGACGACTGTCAGCGTCACAAAACGCAATAGAAAAGGAGCTTTATCATAGACATGAGAGATTTATAAAAATGAGTGTTGAGAGTAAAATGAATTGAAAATTTTCAACCTCTATGACACAAAGTCACTTCCCATTAGAGTCACGAAACGAAGCCCCTTTATCGATTGAATCGAGTCGAAGAAAAAGAGGGAAAAAACTGGCCTCGTATCGAGTGGGTTTGATTCTCTGCCTCGTGTTGCATCGAACGACGATGAAGGTGTGAAGGAAATGGGACTTGATGCAGGCCGGCGAGAACTGGGTATTGTCAGCCTCGAGGAACACCACGCACACGATGTCATTCCCGATGTGCCTCTTGCGTTGCAACTGGACACAAGATAAAATAAATTGAAGCGGGGCGAGAAGAAGAGATGGGTAGGAACTGGATCGAGGATCTAAAAATACGATTCCCACGAGGGACGCAAGAATACTGAAGATACACTCGAAGAAATTCCCATCACGCTCTAGGAGAATGAATTATGCAAGAAGCGTGAAAGAACGGAAAGGCATCTGTTCTCTCCCTCGATGAAAAACTCGAGGCGACACAATCTTCATTGCCTATATTATAGGTATCCGGGATGAAAAGAGACAAGGCCGAAGAAAGATGAGGCTCCGGGGAACCCATCAATCTTCCTTCTCGACGACCGGGAAGATCGATATTAATGGATTTTATTTTTATTTTACTGTCATAGGATATGATGCAGGCTTACCTTTTGAGGATCATGTTGCTCGTAAGGGAGAAGGGTAGAGACGTGGAACATGATTTCGATTCCTCTCCAATGAGTGTAGACGGAATGAGTCCCCGTGAGGTCGTGCACCGTGTCCAATCCTCCTTTGTACTTGTCGAAACCTGTAACCCCAAACAATATTAACGAAGCCATAACGACGAGCAATAACAAAGCAATTACGACGTGTCCGAAAATATAAGCCGCCCCCAACATGACTACCGTGGTCGTTGCATGTAATGATTTTCATGTATTTTCATTTGAGAGCCCAAACACAAAAATGTTGATGAGGCAATGCCTTTTCCATTGTCCCGATAGCACAATTTTCATTGCCGTTTAATGAGAGGCTTATAGTCTCTTGGGATACACGAGGGCAAGTCAAAACGTTCCCGGAAGGTTATTTTGAAGAGACCTTTCACTCCTTGATGACATGGTCCCCTTCAAAGTAGTCCATTAATCCAGATGAAGAGAAATTTAAACGAGGAAAGAAGAATGCGGGGAAGGGATTGGATGGAAGATCTAAAAATACGATTCTCCTGGGGGTCACGAGACGGAGGAATGACGCACTCCTAGAAATTCCCCTGTGAGTCTTGCATGTCTTCCAGAGTGCTCACAGTTTTTTTGCGTTAGTTTTCACTTATTCATTTCTCATCTTAGCCCATTGTAGCAATATCTGAGCGCCAGGCCTCGGACCGTGAACTAAGGAGTCCCTACATACGAGGTGCAGTCAAGAAGTCCGTACCGCACGCTTCTAGCATACGTTTCTGGAATTAGTTGGAATAAATTACGGTTGGACGAGGTATTATGATCAGTTGTGAGTCAGACAGCACGTTGTGAACATTGTGGGTATATTTGTTTGTGTGCAGCATTGGTTTTTCGACACAGTTTCCCCTACTGTCCCTGAGCAATGGAGTTCGCGGAGGAAGAACAAAGAACTGTGATCAAATGTGTGTGATCCGTCAGGCCCCTTCCAATGAGAAAGTTCTTTACGCTATTTTTCTGGACAGGCAGGGTTTAGTTCTACCTCACGTAGTTCCTAAAGGTGCAACCAATAATGGAAGCTACTACAAACGTGTTACAAACTGAGCTTTTACCAGCAGTAAAAAAAATTGCGTCCGTTGAAGGCCAATGACTAGTTCATTCTTCATCTGGTCAATGCACCAGAGGGACTGGTGGGAGATTAAGGGATATTTTTTTAAATTAGAAAATGGTATTGAGGCCTTACCCCATCCCCCGTACTCACCGGACCTGGCACCCAACGACTTTTGGGTGTCCTCAGAACTCGAGGATTCGTTACAGAGTAAGATGTATGACTCCCGACAAGCCCATAGTACTGCAGTTTACCAGTGGTTTAAACATACACCTGAGGAAGCATTTGTCGAGTTCTTCAGTGACTGGCAACAAAGGTGGAAACTGTGTAGGTAAAGCAGGTGATTATGTTAAGAAGTGACCGCAGTTTCTATTCAGAACTCCTGAATGTAAATGAGATATGGCTCGACGGTATGGACTTTCTGACTGCACCTCGTAAATCTCCTTAACCCTTTGACCGCCAAACTCGAATACAGGCCCGAAGAGAGGGGGTAGGGAAGGGGCAATTTGCCCCGGACCTCATCCCTGGGGCCCCCTAGGGCGACTGATATACTGTTGTTCAGTAGCGCAACGTTCGTTCGCAATGAAGAGTTGATTATGTTCAGAGCGGGAGGGAGGGGGGGGGGGCGATTGGAAAGGGGGCCCTCACGTGAATATTGCCTCACAGTTCCTTTTGGTGGCCCTGTCCTAATATACTCGTTTTCAAACTTTCTTCCCTGGGCGCCAGGCCCAAAAGAACCCGGCGGTCAAAGGGTTAAAAGTAAAACTACGTGTTTTTGCAGAGCGAGAAAATTAGAGTGCGTTTCCTCCAGATATAGTTAACTAGTCTGAGAAAAACCGCTCACTTTTTCTTAAGGTTGTGAAGAGACTCACCCCTCCCCACCAAAACAATGAAAAAGTGAGCATTTTCGCTCTAAAAAGAGATAAACAGATTATCGAATTCCCGTTAAAAAAAAAGAGAGAGAGAAATTGCTAAATTGGATTTCATTCACTGGAGCAATTTTTTTTACCATAAGGCTTGCACTTCTCTCCCGACAGTCCATTTTTGATGAAAGAAAGTGACAGTGACAAAACACTGTCTTAGCAAGAGGAAAGGGAAACAATGAAATGGAAGCTTTCACGATCATTGCAGCGAAGTCTCCAAGGGATCCCCTTTTCCATTCCTTCATTTATTTTCATTACCGCCCATTCCAACTTAATGGGGTCGCCGTTGAAGCAGGCGCCAGGCGCGACCTCCAAATGTTCCCAGCCCTGGACAGCGGACTCGAGCTCGGCTCGTAACATGCCGAATCCAAGAGGCCTCTCCATCGTCTCCATTTTCGGCCAAATTTATTCTCTCTTTCATCTAAAGCTCTTTTCAGGCCGATGGAGAACGATGGAGTTAGATAACGCGCAATTGCTCCAATTCCAGGCAATTGATATTCGAGTGCATTTGCATTTGCAGAGTAGCGATGAACGCTCTTTTACAAGGCTCTTATACTAGACTTTCAAATTTTCTCCATTTCTTAATAATAAAAAGATATTCGTTTTTCAATAACCTTTTGCCGAAAGGTGTGTAAAGGTTCACCAGGTTCAGTTTACACTCTTACAAGCAACCCAGTGCAAACTCCAGTTTCCCCCTTTTTTTACTTTTAGAAGAGAGCAAAGAAGAAAATTACTCCGATTTTCTCTTATTTTTGCACTTCCAAAGTAAAAAATGGAGGAAAAAGGAGGAAAAAGGAAGGGAAACTAGAGTCCGCATTCGCCTTTTTCGAAGAGTGTAGCTTGCAAATTCTGGAAACCCAGACGCATCCGCGCACAAAATATATCGTTGTCAAATGTTAGTATGTCAGAATGTAGTCAATGAGTTTTTCGCTACTCTTTTTTCTATTTTCCACGCTGTACAAACACGCCAACATAATTGTATTGTAAATGTATGTACCTGGGCCGCATTAAACATGAATAAAACAATAAATGTTAAGAAAAAGCTTTTTTTTGTGACGCGCTACAAATTAGGAAATTACCATGATTCTAAATGAATAAACTGGACATGGTTCAATGTGTTCGTATATAAATCCTGGACAACATACCAATATCCACGAATAATGTCTGATGTGTTACCATGTTCTTTGATAACCGTAACGGTTCCATAGAAATTTTGGAGATTTCGTCGGTCTCTTGTTATTCACCATCTACAACTATGAAAATGCCCCCATATCTCATATGCCCCCAAATGTCTCCTCGCGAGTTTTGAGAGACACGCCGTTTCTAAACAAAATTACTACCCCTCGATTATTTGAAGCGAAACTTACTTGACTTGGTCACCCTATTCTATTCTGATTGAACTTTATTCACAGCGTCCTTTGTGAAATGGGGGTCCTGGAGTCCTGGGGGTCATACCAGATGCCTTTTGCTAATAAAAAATTTGAAAACGTTTCTTCTTCTAAGGAAGTCATGTATGCGTCTGCAATAAAAAATTTTTTAAAAATCAAGAACTTTTGCTGCATTACAAAAGATTAGATAATGTTTGGGTTTTATCATTCATCTGCAAAATCCATTGGAGCAATAAACGATAAAGAAGCGCTGAATGGTACTATCGGAATACAAAAGTGTCTCTAACCCAGGGGATGAAAACAAGCGGGAAAAGAGAAAGAGCGAAGAAGAAAAAGGAGAGAAAGTAGGAAAAGGGAAGCGAGAAAGGAAAAAGCGACACAAAGGGGGACAAGAAAAGACAAAAGGGACATTCGCGCGAAGAAAGACACGCAAAAAAAATAGCTTCCAGATTGAAATGTCTTCAGCTGTCGAAGGGTTCTCATGTTGAATACTTTCCCGAACAGAAGCAAACTTTCATGCAGGAATTGAATTCAGCCCACCTCAAGAGTTATCGATATGAAAGAATGAGACTTTTGCGCTACGTTAGATTCGTGAGGAAAGCGCGAGGAACAAAACATCTAGCTCAAAATCTTTCCATTCGCCGTTCAGCTTTTCTGCATTTCCCTAGGCTCTGAACCCTTTACGAAGAGAGCGTGCCTGAATTATTTCTCAGCTCTTCATACTTGCGACTTGTTTGCTCTTCTCGAAATCCATTCCGCCTGAGTAGATCATCCCTTCCAGCATCCAAGTATCTTTCCTAGGATGATCCCTGCTCCTCCACTGTGAGTGAAGGGAACTTTGTCCCTCTCGGCGCAATTAAAAAATCGACCCACCACTGGTCTAGATGTATGTTGCCCGAAGCGGTCGGTTTCTTCTTCCCTGCCAGCCTGTGCCGAGGTGGGTTCTGGAATATCCCCATCTTCGCAAGAAAAATGCGTCAATATTCCCTCGAGCTCCTCATTGGGTTTTTCTGCCAGGCACAGGGATGATGAGATTGTGCTTCTCAGAATATTGCTCCAGTTTCCGCATCTGCTACCCCAGTTATCTCATCTGTCAAATCTATTCCTCCAGTTTCTTCGCAGTTTCGCTGTCGCCTTCTACGTTTTCCAATTCCTCAACTTCAAACATGACTCAATAACCTCTCTCCTTTGTCACACTTTGATCACCTCCTCACACTATGACCATTTTCACATCTACTTATAATTTTTTCCACGTTCTTCTCACCGTTTTATTCCAAGTTCTGTAGACTCTTCGACACTGCTGGACTGAATCCTCACTGGCTTTATTTTGAGTCTCCAATAGGAACCCACGAAGTTCAGCTAGGCTCTGAGTCACCATTGGATAGTATCACCTTTCATAATTTTAAACTTTTTTTTTTTAACTTCCTCCCAGACATCCACCATACACATGCGGAAAGGACTCAACGCAGCCAGTCTCACTCTATGCAATAGGTCTTGACGGTCGCCAACGAAGGGCTCCAAGTGTACAGTCGTTGAGTTGAATACCATTCCAAAGAACGGACTGCGGTAGTGGGTGTAACAACTGTCCATCTACCGGATCAAGTGCTGTTGACGAGATGGTTAGCAGGAATCTTCACTAACTATTGATGCTAGGTGCTTGGATCTCGAATGAACATACTCTACGTTGGCGTTATGCCATGACCAGGATCATTACGTTCCCCGTTTTCCTTAAACGATAGAGGCAAGAAGTACAGGCCTCCCTTTGCGGCAGCCATGAATGCGTAAAGGAATGGAAGGCATAGAAAGAGTCTCATGCCGTTATCCCGTCGTACATATCTGCTCCGCCCAGGACGTCAGAAGGGATTGAACAACCCTGATCAATGGACCATGCTCCTTTCGCGGAAATATATATGATGTCTAAAGTAGAAAGTTCGACTTCTCGTCTTTCCCAAAGTAGTAGACCTCATCAGCGAGGACATGAAGAGGAAACCCCATCACGACTTTCTATTTTTGTCCTTCTCCCCTAAAGATAGTATGAATGAGCTAGGGAAATCATTATAAAACTGTATGAAGGTTTGACTTTAATGAGGGGTGGATCGAAATGGGAGAGAATATGAGAGAAGCTGGCGATCATGAGGAGAGTTGGAGAAGAAGGAAAAAGTGGGAGAAAGCAAAAGGCATGAAAAAGTTCCCGAGGGAAGTATTTGGGATGTACACCAGATGAAGGAAGGAAGGAATCGATGGATAGGATGCAGGCTCTATACAAAGGCCTGGGCTCTCATGGAAATTGCATCATTCTTTATTCATGGCTACGTCTCTTCTCTCTCTCCCTCTCCCTGGCCTTCATCCACAGACCATCTAGAGTTACTCCGCTACTGAAGATCCAGTACCAATCACTTACATCGCGGTTAGAAGGCAAAGGAGAGGAGAGAAAAAAAAAATTAGAAGAATGGAGCATATTTACCTTTGAGTCGGACTTTCTCGCCGGTGACGGAGAGGAATTCCTCGAAAAGCGGGGAGTGCTCGTTATTATCCAGGATCTCCTCTTCGGTATATTGACCCTCCTTCACATAAACCACACCGACTTTCAGCTCCGATTTCATGAATACCTGCATCGGCACCGAGAAAGAGCCTTCATCATCGGAAAGATCGACTTTCGCAGATCGGAGATGGACTTCACGAAGTGAAGGCGGACTTATTCCATCGAACAACGTCTTTCCAAAGGGGGTTATCAAGGTTTACTTGAGATCGATTCGTCTTTATGTCAATTATCAACGTTAGTATTAATAGATCCCACGGGTACGCAATAAGTCAATCAACAGCGCGTCTAATCAACTACAGCAACATAGAGACCTACGTGTTTGGGGAGTAAAGATTCCCGATATGTCGATATTTTGACCTGCGGATGCATAAAAAACAGAAATGCATCTCTGTCAGCCATGACGCTACAAACATCTCAATGACGCCTTCTCAAGCTGAGAAAATATTGAAAATATCCATCAAGAGGTGAGAAGGTTTCATATTTTACACTCCAGATCCTGAACATTCAGTGTGTCTCAGAGGGCACTATTGAGTTCGTCCGAAATCGCCGTGCAAGAAATACCTGTATTTTGATCATTTTTGGAAGCTTTCTTTCAATGATCTCTCTGTAAAACATCCCATCAGCATGTAAAACATTCCGATTATGCATAATTGGAAGCTCCAAAAGCGCATCATGCCCACCGACCATGTCCAGAGGGCATGGTTCCCGTGAATGGTCAGAAAAAATAATTCTCGAGACCTGATCAGTTGGACGTGATTCAATGACTCACTCGGAGTCCCTGAATACTCTAGCACACAGCTCATACACGAGCTTGTGAGAAAAATCACAGCCCCTTGACTTCGTCGCCAACCCGCCGAGCAAGCGACCCGGCGGCCCGGGATACAACACAGGCTGCGCATATTTCTCGATCCATTCCATTCGTCTTCATCCCAGCCAGCCCCTACCCAGGTAATCTCCTCGAATGGAGATAGGAGAGCAATAGGACAGACCTGATCGAGTTTGAGCAGCTCTTCTGGAGTGTTGGGCAGCTGTCCTAGGAAGAGGGGAGGATGGAGGTTCACCTCTTTTCCCAGGGATCGAACCACCTCTTCCCGGTTGTACCGATCAGCCATGACACACGACGCAGGTACCAGACCGTGCACCGTGTAACTCACCGCTCGCACCATTATCCTGTTTAATATTTATATAGGGAATAACCAATTGAACCAATCTCTCCGTCTCAGGCATTTCAACCTCGAAAGGGACTGTGAATCTATTACCTGAACTGGTCTCGATTGTTGATGGTCTCCTGCTTTAGGCTAAGAATCACAGGTCCCAGATCCTCGTCATTCGAGAAATAATTCCAGTGCTCCGTGCCGTAGAAGTATTTCTCGTAGACTTCTTGCTCAATCGACGTTAGCTCGAACGTCCCCAGCTTCTCGTACTGCTCTTGGATCGGCGTTTTGTGAGTATTTGGCGCGTCTTTCACGATCGGGGAATCTGAACCAACCTGGACGAAGAATTCATCGTTCAATCGATGATTGTGCTGATTTTCTTTCAGATTTACTCATTTTGATTTTAATTCTACGATCAGCACTAACACCGGGCATCGATAGAGTATGTTCTGCTTCGAATCCTTAGATGGCAATAGTAAGTTGTCACCAGGTGTCAGTGGTCAGAAAGAGGTGACCGCGGTATATTTAACCGTGTGTAATATGCATGCTAACCTGAATGGAATGCCGATTGGGGAGTTCAGAGACGGGGCTCCCATCGGATCCCTGGGAGGGATGACCGGAAGGCATGGAGCAAGGAGTGCCACCGTCCGGGGACTCCTCCTCCTCCCTTAGAGACCCGTGACCAGATTTCCAAGATCCGTCGTCTCTGTCGTGTGGCCGAGAGCATTCAATCCAGTAACCCGGAGTCGGAATCAGCTTGTGGGGGTATTGATCGCAAACTTCGTCTGGGAAAATGCACCGTAAGAAAATTATGTACTCTGTATTTTGCCCTACCACTTAGCTCTAAGCCCAGATGAGATTATTGGAGAAAAGGAAGGCAACTTTCCTTACGTAAATCTATTTAATTTCAGGCTCGGCATAAGAGGGACTTTCTCCCATCGCATCTGGAAATGCATTATGCCTAAGCAAATGCGTTCCTGGAATTTCTTTCCTGTGCTTAATAAAATAGTCTTAAAGAGCACTACCTATTTCAATTCCCACCTTCCATTGGATAATAAAAAAAAGTTTTTGAAAGAATAGGGCGGAGATTACCTGAGCAAGCCTGCGGAGGGAGAGGGAATATGAGGGTGGTGGAGCTTTTTCGTCGGGCCACAGCACAGCCCAGGCTTTGAGGCTTGAAGCTTCGCAGCTGTTGCATGAAATCCGAGCTCTCCAGTAGGGCTACATCCGCGAAGTGGAGATCGCAGAAAATCTGGTTCTTGAATCTTCGCGCCCGCTTTTGGTTGATCCCGGTCAGGTTGATCCCACATGTGTTGCATCGAAGGCACTCCTCGTGGTAGTGATTGTTGTCGTAGATCGACGACGGTTCTGTTGGGAGAAATTACAAGAGGTAAATAAATAAAAAAAACGTTTCGCGTCAAAAACTCGGGAATAGCTGAGTATTCTTTTCTCCATCATTGATGATGATACCCTTCCCCCACGAGAGAAAAATGAGGAATTCATTGCCCTGACCATGAGAATGATTCTTTCGCGTGCGAGGATTCTTTCCCAGGATACCGAGGTCACTGCATCAATCATGGTCCCAATGACTTTTTTGTGATATCTCCGGGCCTATATATTCCACGAGATCCGACCCAAGAACGGCCGGCATCATCCACGATGAAATCGTCAATATTCGAAGATGGATGAGCCTTCTTCCGTAAAGCAATGCATCACTTCGAGGAAGGTTGACGTGACGAAATGAAGACGTGGGACGGGAAATCTTGAGAAAGGGTAAAAAGGATTTATTTCTTCCTTCCCTCCTCTCCCCCTTTCTCCAGACATCGTCATGGGTGTGGAGGTTGGGCCGGCCAGGCCCCATCGATTTCTCTCAAGCCATGAGCCTTTCTCTTTGGTAATGTCCTCCTTTTATACGCCAAGTCCATTTCCACCTCTCTATCTGTATTGATTTTTTGTTTTGCATATATGGGCTGTGCTGATGGAAATGCAAGGGCCGTAATGTGTGCGTCTACCTCTAACGGAGCTCCTACAGCCTAAATTGGATGACGTCCTTAAAAATATGCACTGGCCTCTGAGTTGCTGAGTGGCCCTTGAGATCCTCGGGAACGATTAGCCCTACTTAGAAAAATGCAATTAAGGCCTTCCTTGCCATGGCTTTGGTCGATAGATGGATATTCGTGGAAACAAAAAGTCTCCCTGCATGGGATGTTATCGCCGATGGCGTGTGCATGCAAGCATGAGGAGCTCGCATATTGCATCCCACTGTGCTTGTCTTGAGAGAGGATCGATGTATGAGGTTGACGTAGATTTTTACGACCACCATTCATTTCGCAGATATTGCGCAGGGTATCACGTATCAAACGGACGCCCTGCACCTGCATGGCAAACAGGCAATATGCTCCATTCCGTTGCAGGCCCTCGCCTTTATTCCTTTCTCTACTTTCTGGGCACCATTCATCACCGATGATGATGATGAGGCCCTCGATTGCTCCTCTGTATGGTGGGAACGTGATAGGCCTCCCCTTCCTTACCACCCCCCTTTCCCCTCTCTTCCTTTCCCCTTTTTCTGACTTAAGGGGGTGGCAGTAAGGGTAATTATGAGTGATTACTCGATTGGGTCGTTATTATGGCCTTACAATGACCTTCACGGACCGCTGCACCAAGAGCCTTGGCATATCCGTACGGATATGCCAATGCCTTTCTGAGTAATTACACCTGATTCCCATTACTCCTTTTCTTTGTAATCTCCTGCGGTGTCGGTATATCGATCGGATTCCAGATACCAACGGCATTACTTCTAGTCTCAATTAATCTAAATAGAAACTCAGTCAGACTCCCAAAAAATATCAGCCATGATTTCGCAAGTGGTTGAGGAAAGAGTACGAAGTATAACAAGGGAAAAAAAATAGAAACTTCTGCCGAAAACTACTTAGGTGAATATACTTTCCCATCAGTCCTAAAGGAGAGCGTTGTACCTTTCGAAATTGTTCTAAAAGGCAAGTTTTGTGCACTTCTCAGAAGGAGGGAAGTTTCCCCAGATACTCTCACCTGTGTTCGAAGAATAGGCGCTATCAAGCTGCAGCGGTTTCACTACTGGCACTTTCGGCACGTCCTGCCGGAATTCCTTCATGAAGTGCTTGATCATGATTCCTCGGGAAACTGAGGGCCAAGGGGAAGACGGCAGAGGGAACTCGCAAGAAGGCAATCGGACATCTTGTCCTCAGAACGAGCCCATGTTGAAAGTTCAGAGACTAGCCAGAGACTAGGTTCCTCCCTCACCCCCGACCCATGATATATACGACGGAAGAATAAAACTGAGTCTGCGCGGATCTCTCTCTTCATATTTCCAGACCCTGCGCATGTTCTCTTGTCTCCCTCCCACGTCTCTATGAGGTGATTCCTCCCCGTGGAAGAGCAAAAAAAAAAAAAAAAACCGAGGCCGACTTCTTTGCGGACCTCTTGCCTGATTCCATGCAAATCTATTCTGATCGATGAGGCGTCACATGCGCCCATGTCAGGCCACAGTGCAGTGCATTGGTGCGCATTCTCTAAGGCCTTTGTCATTTCTGATTCCCTGAGATATTGGGCTGGTGGATTTCATTCCTTCTGCTCATTTTTATATAGGGTATGTCGTTCCAGGTCGGATCTCGGTGAATGCTGCGAAGTTCACTGACTAAAATTTATGGTGGATTTTTGAACAGAGCACTATCCGATAATGCAGCTTTATTTATCGGATTTATAATGCATTTTCTCTGAACTAAAGCTGCATCATCGCCCAGTTTAAAATCCCAGCTGGAAACAGCTATAATTTCCAGCTGGACTCCAGCTGTAAATTCGGACCCATTCCAACTGGGTAACAGCTGGAAAATATTTTTATAAAATTCCAACTGGAAAATTTCCAGCTGGAAACAGCTATTAAAACCATCTGCATTCCAGTTGGAAAATTCCAGCTAAGAAACAACTGGTACCTACTGTTTTCCAGCTCTTTGCCAGCTGGAAAAGGTCCGAATTTACAGCTTTGGTCCAGCTGGAATATTACAGCTGGGATTTTAAACTGGGCGGATAATGCTCTGTCCAAAAATCCACCCTTAACGTTTTACTTTTATAGTTTCACGGCAGGATTTCGCAGTGTATTAGCACGTCACGATTCCGTCGTTTTCCCAGTATGACGACCCCGGAATGCATGGCATCTCTTCAGAAAATATTTTGGCATGATTTGATATTTTGGTCCCACGCTCTCGCTCACTTGGCGCTCAGCAACCTTGAACTTCTTCGTAAAAAATGTCTATTGCAAAGGTCAAAGATGAAGGCTACTTTATACCCTTAGCAGAGAGGTGGACTAGGTTCTCCTGCAGTTATAATGTCAATAATGAATAATAGAAGGGTTGCGCCAAGGACTTTCTACTGCGTAAATACCAAGACACGCCCCACAACAGAGCGTTTGCCATTGGACACGAAAGTATGGCTCAGTTTGACATCGAGTATACCATGACAATGAAGTCTGTACTAAAGTAGCGAATTGGGTTTACGATAATCACTTCACGGGTAGATTGTTCTGGGCGATCATGATATTCAATTAACTCAGAGATCGAACGAAACAAATATAGAACGGAATTGAAGAAATATAAAATTTCTGACAGAGACGTCCTGGCCTCGTAGTAAAGGGCAAGCTGAAAATGCCTTTTCCGAAGCGGAAAGGGCATTGAAAAGCTGAGTCTGCGAATTCCTGGGACTATTGGGTCGAACGATCCGATGCCTTTGTGATCAGATCCAGACGTCTGTGATTGTCACTGATTAGGGCTGAAAAGATCGCTCGACCCCAGTGAACAGGTATATCAATTACAATGCAGTTAATTAGTTTTGAATAGAGTAATTAAAGGTAGTTGTAATGAGAAGTATGGATTTGGCAGATTGTCATGTCTAGAAAGCTATTCTCCCGAAAACAGTCTTCATTGGATCTTTCACAGAATGTGCTTCACATGCTTTCGACATTCAAGCCCGAAAGATTTGATTTGAAAGATACAGGGTGGGCCACTTAAAAGTAGCCCGCCTCTGGTCCGAGCGTGACGGAGGTGGTCGCCCCTTGCACACTGTTCTTACCGACTGTCTGTCTGTCGCAGTATTATAGGAGGCGGGCTACTTTTAAGTGGCCCACCCTGTATTTTCTTCCATGGTGAAGGTGCACTATCGGTGCTTCGCTCACTCATGCTTTCATCCATGGTGTTATTTAACGGGAAGAAGGCTTTCACCTTCCTTTGAAGCATCGTATCTGGTTCTCTTCTCGAAAAAAAGAGATATGGACTTCCTATGAGCTTGTCCAGGAATTGAATAGAGGTTATCATAATACCCTGAGTGTAGAACACATTCAGCTTTCATGTGTCAACAGACTCAACACTTTCAGTCACTTGCCTAGGTCGAATTTTTTTCTGTAATTTTTTTTTTTCATCGAAATGCGTATGAAGGCACTTTGAAAAATTAACAAGAGCTGGCTGTGGACAATTTTATAAATCTGATGTTACTCTCTCATGAGATCCCAAGTGGCGTCAGTAAGGGAGAGAAAGATCTGACAGAATATGAGAATAGGCCTCACCTGCAATGGAACGCATTTCTAATCTCGTCACCAAATTTTGTTGGCATTGCATTATGGCATAGTAGATTAACGGGGTGTTCTAAAAAAATATCAATTGTACCCATAATTACAAGGTATAACAATCATACAAATTCTTAGCAAAATAGCCATTAGTCACTCTTTCGCGAAAGAGTGACTGCGAAATTTTTGTGCAAAAATAGTCAGGCTACTTTGATACCCGTCTCCAGCTCACTGCTATTTCCAGTTTCTTTTGCCACCCTTTACCGAAATGCAGGTGAAGTCGTAGGCTTTTACCATGGTTATTTTTTATTTGCATCGCCAGTCATATTAGCGTCCGCGCCCATTCGCCTAAAAAAAAAAATATTCCCCATGGGAGAGTCCAAAATGTTATACAATTTACTCTACAGGCCAAATATGCTGTACCAGAAGCTCTCTATTCATAATACTGATGAAATAACACGAAAAACAAGCATTATATAATGCGCAAGAACATTGAAGTAATTGCTCGAAACTAAGTTGATTATTCCAATGCCTCAGGTCAGCCCAATAGGAGAACTTGTTCGTACACAAGCATGCTTACAAAGCTTTACATAGAAGCATTCTGTGGGAGAGCCGCTATCGCATATGCACAGAAGAAGTTCATCATGTACGTACCTCGTATATATCGCGTATCCCTTCCTTCCTTTTCCCCCTTCTCCACTCCTTTTCTCCCTTGGAAGAGTCAATATCCCAATAATTGGGTTCATGCGGTATCCATGGTGCATGTATCTCTATAAACCCTCCTTTCCCAATATCTCTAAGGGATTGTTCCCCTCCTCATCTCCCAGCTCATTCAGCAATTCCCAGAAAAGGTAGAGCATCATTTTTCTCAAGAAATAATTTCATCCAACCTTATTCAATTTGTTTCGTATCGCAGGGTTTTAACTTTTTCCTAGTAGCGATTAACAAGTTCCAATGCTCGTGAAAGTTTTTTCAGCGAAATGGCACGTTTTAAGAAGGTCGATCCAATTAAGGGTTTCTAGAAGCAGTGAAATCAAGTTTCGACTTCAACTTGTGCCGAAAAAAAAACTTAATTCGATATCTGGATCGATGTGCTCGAAGGTTCCCCGAACTCCAAAGTTCGCCTGGGTGTTGGATTCTGTGTCCCAGATTTAAGAAATATGACGCTCCAAATTATTTTCGAGCAAGCCTTCTCTCTTCTAAAGGGCGGCTCCTTGTGCATCTGCCCGGATGTTGGTCCAACACCCACTCGCTGTGAATTTTTCGTCAATGTTTGCGGAAATAATTAACTGCAAACTTCATCGTATACTTGTCACACATCGTATACTTGCTCACAAATGTGACAAACGTGGGATCGACTTGTCTGTAGTATGGGAACTGCATGACTTGCTCTAATGATCATGTTTCTGTGATATAAGGGAATTCATTAAACTAGTGTTGTGTTCATTCCATGGATGATACGAAAATGTTTGAGCTTTTAGAAGGTCCAACGTTTTGAGGGTGTTTCTTTTTCAATGATTTCATGAATTGGGTTACATATAGTAATGAAAATGACTGCGAATTTCAGGAGCATGGGGACTTCATCTTGTGAGTACCATACAGCATATTGGGAATGAACAAGCATTCCAAGTGCCATACAAGAATGAAACAGTCTCAAAGATTGGTCCAATAAAAACTTGCATGACAAATGCACACTCGTGGTACGAGTATCATAGCCTGCCTGACTGGAGTGACTAACCGTCTAAGGGATATTGCATTTTGAGCTAATAGTAGAAGTTAAATTGTTTAACAGTTATGAACGTCAAGATGTTAACATTAAATATTACTCTTTTAAGCAATATTTTAACCTCAACTACTGGGCTACTGCTACGCCTTTCGCCGATAGTGATATAAACTAAGGTACAAAAGTCTTTTCCCCCAGTATTTCAAGTATTTTTCAGAGTGAATGGGATGAATATCAAAAGCAATTTTATTCACATGGGACAAGGTACAAAAGTATCACAATTAATAGTTGATCCTCTCTCCCTTCGCGTCAATCAAAGCCAAACATGGCGTTTTCATCGACTCGACCAAATGATTTAGAGTGGCCAAGTCGATTCTGTCCCATTCTTTGTGCTAAAATCTGTCCAGTTCGTCGAGATTTGATGGTTTCCGCTTCTCGACACGCTGTTTGAGGATCGACCAGAAGTTCTCGATTAGATCGACATCGGGACTGTTCGACGGTCAGTCGATCGTTTCGGGTACTTCCTCGAATAGGAACTGCTTCGTCACTCGACTTCTGTTTGGGATCGTCGTCTTGCCGCATTCGCCAGCGTCGAACAAACTGCCTTTTGGCGCTACGAAGGAGTTGATCTTGAAGGAATTGAACGTTGCAAGGGTCATCCATAATTCTCTCGAACGAATGACATCTGACCAGGCCCATGACACTGACCACCTCACACCATAATCTTCTGTCTGTCTTCGGGATTCGCTTGACCTCGCCTCTTGGAATCTTTGACCATCGACGAATCGTGTTTCTGAATAATTGGTAGGAGGTCTTGTCGGTGAATACTGTTCGGCTCCAATCGTCGTTCACGAGTCGAACTGTCCACTGGAGGCGCGCATCTTTATACTTCTGTCAACATTGGCATCACATGGGGCAAAGTACTATTGTGGCCTAT